GACTAAAATGTTGGCTATTTTTCTTACCATAGTATGTAGTTGAATCAAATGGTGACCCGTTCGTTTCCTTTATATTGTAAGTGTAGCTGATGACAAACTGTCTGTCTTCAGAGTTTTTGTGTCACGTGAGAAATTCGTCGTTGTTTTATTATTACTGATCCAACTGGTCTTTGTTTATCATCCACCATCATTAATGGTTAAGGGACTGTACGATATTTACCGGGGGGGGGGAGGGCTGGTGCATTGAAAAAAATTTTGGCCTGGGGGGAGGGCCATCGAAAAAAATATCTTAACCGAGGGGAGGGCCATCGAAAAAAAATCAGCCTTGGGGGGGAGGGCCACTGAAAAAGTTTTCCAAAATATGGCGTCGCGTAGTACCGAATTACAAGAAATACGCCGTAAATTTGAAATATAGTACGCACTTTTAAAACTTTTCCAAATCCCAAAAGTGTCTCGGGCCGTCGCCAAAGTCGGGGTGCGAGGTTTTTGAGGTTTATTTGAGGTTTTCCCCCGACAAATCCGTGGACGACCCAGGGATATATATAGCGGAACACCGGCACGGGGAACTTGGAACGACATCGATCGTCCATAGCATGTTTAGATAAGAATATTGACGAGTGGAAATAAAGTTGATCTTCAAATATGAACATAATTCCTCTGACTATCGTCGATATTTACACCAAGTTGTGGTAAAAAAGAAGTCAAGTCACCCTCGGTAAGAACATGTTGGTCACTAGCAATGACGCCCGGCGCTCCGTCATGCCGACCGGCCGTCCCCCAGCCAGTCGACGCCGATCTCAGTGGAACTCCGGCCGAAAATATAACCCCCCGTAAGTACATATAAAATTGTAAGAGGGTTTATGAGCGGTAATATTTGAAATGGTCCGCAAGCCGTGAAGTTTTTAATCGTCGTAAACAAAACGTAACGTGATAAAATAACAGTTGTGCCTCGACTGATGGTCAGTTCTAATGCACTTCCGGCTTGAGTTTAACTCAGAAATCTTCGACAAAGATTTTACCCCATGCCGTTTCAAAGGTTCAGTTGACAGATATTGTTATCCATGTTTCATTTCGTATCATAAATCTTTTTAAATCTTGATAAACGCCATGGGAAATTACTTTGTAGCGGACTATACCAGCCAGTGCAGTACGACGTAAAAATGCCAGCTAGATGTACTCTCCCACCCGACTGTTCGGCAAGCTACAATGATATGGGCGGAGTTATCTTAAAATGTAGTCTTTGATGAAAGGCCGGTGGGTGGGGTGCTGAGCGCGCCGACAGGCAAAGTCAAAGTTTCAAAGTGCACCTACAGCTGAAGAACACAGAGAGGGCCGTGGCAGCGCTGAGGACAGCTTTCCAGAACCTGGGCCCCGGGAAGGAAATCTTTCTTTCCTCTGAACAGAATGTACTTATGAGTTTTACGGAGTACAAAATAATTAACACATGTGTTTATTCCTTAGAGGTGTAACGGGTGGCAAATTTTAAGGCAGCACCTCTACAGTAGCATGAATACTCCGCCCAGTTCTCCGCCTCGATGATCGTTAATTAATTGCTCTCCATGGGTTGATCGGGCGGGTGCTATTTTAAGTGTTCGGTGCATTTCGTATAACTGTTACATGTAGTAAAAAAAACCCAGCAAAGCTACGTACTTGTACATCAACATTCAACTACCCCCCGCTACCGATGAAGTCAATATTGAAATACGGTATTTTTTCACGAATCTTTATTGACCATTGCTTGTTTGATCACCAACGTTCTCCGGGATCCAAAGCTGTACGTTTCGCCGCACTTGCCTTACCTTTCGATGCGGTGGTGACGTCTTGCAAGTCGGCTGCGGCCGGCGGTGAAAACAAGCCCGAACATGGAACGTTTCCCGCTACGTTACCATACAATCACGCAGTACACAGCATAAATCTAGTTTTTAACAATTTTAAAGCTGCAATTTTAAATTTGTTTGGAACGATGAACTGTCTTTAAGACCAGAGGTACCGGCCGTGCGTAGAAGGAGTGTGTACTTTTCCATCAGAATTTTTCCATTTCAGACGGGAATATTTGTCTCCCATCAGCCCCAAATTGGGGGCGCGTACCTTTAATCGGGATGCGTACTTAATTCGGGAATTTACGGAGGGATAAAGAGACATCGAAAAATGGGGGGAGGGCCATCGAAAAATTTTTTGGGTGGGGGAGGGCCATCGAAAAATTTTTTGGGGTGGGGGGAGGGCCATCGAAAAAAATTTTGAGCCGGGGGGAGGGCCATTGAAAAAAATTTTTACCGGACCATTTTGCACCAGCCCTCCCCCCCCGGTAAATATCGTACAGTCCCTTAGCCTTTTTCAGTCAGTCGAGTGGGGTTTGAATATATATATTTATATCGTCTTG